ATTGACTTGACTTGTGACTTGCATTTCTCAAAACTTGTCATAAGACTTGCATATCTTGAAACTTGACTTGACTTTTGGACTTGGTTGTCTCTTAAGACTTGACTTGCATCTGAAGAAACTTGCATTTCTTGGGACTTGACTAAAGTTTCATAGCTTGGAACTTGTCATAACTCGAGACTTGCGTGTCTCTGATCTTGACTAAAGATTTGCATGTCTTGTGACCTGATTTTAGATTTGCATGTCTCTGAACTTGACTTGGCTCAAGACTTGAAAACTAATGCCTTAGGGCTTGGCTCAAGGTTAGTAGCTTGTGACTTATTTTAACTCGAGATTTTTATGTCTCTGCACTTGCAAGATAATGATTGGTTCTGCCTCTGAAACATTAGGTAGGCTATTACAACAGATGACTTGTTAACAAGTCATCTGTTGTAATAGCCAATTCAATCAATTACAAGTCCAGAACTAGAATTTTTGGCACCAAAGGAAAGGGGGGGAGCAGAGTAGAAAAATGAGGGAGGAGTGAAGGACCCACTGCTCTGGTTGAATCAGTGCTTCATGTCATTTTCAGCCCTTTGTTAGAAACCATCTGGATGGGGGGGGGGGGGGGGGCAGCTGGAGGGACGAAGGCAGCAGATAAATACTGACTGCTGATGGAGGAAGCGGTGTGTACTGAATGGGAGGGAGAGTGTGATTGCGGGGAGAGGAGAAAGGTTTCCTCTCAGTAGTCCCACCTCTCAATCTGACAGCAGCAGCCCGTTTTTCCTCTCCTCCTCGGCGGTGAAAAGCCACCAGGTAAGAGAAGCGACCACATTCTCTCATCCCTGCAGCAACAATCGCTCTTCGCAATGATGACAATTCAAATAGTGACAGAAACGAAGAGGAGACTGTCAAAAGGGAAAAAAAGGCGAGAAAGGAGGAAAAAGGAAAATCCCGGTGGCGCGTTCGTGCTTGCAGAGACGTGCAGGATTATAGAAGATATTCTAAAATCGCAAACTCAGCAGTTGTTAACTTTCTTTAAAAAAAAAAGTTTGGCAGTCCTTACAGCAAGTTTGCAATCGCCTCTCAGCCCGGCTGTGTGTGCGTGTTGTTTATCCGGACTGCAGCTTCATGCCAAATTGATGCTCAGTTGTTGTAGACGTGGCTTCTTAAGCGAAATCGCCAGGACTGTGTGTGTGTGTGCGTGTGTGTGCGCGCGCGCGCGTGTGGTTGTGGCATAATGATTGTTGGGCACACACGTCTCAGGAGGGAGGGAGGATTATAGGGTGGAACTGTTTAATTAAATGGAAATCTGTTGTTAGAAACTAACAACTTCCTGAGGTTGTGCTTGCAAAAGTTTAGCTGCTGTTGTATTGTCTTTAGCGGTCTAGCCATGACAGCAGATTGGGCAGTGTTCTTTAAAAGTGAGGAAAATGAACAAATGGAGGATAAAAGATGAGGTGTTAGATTTGGATAAAGTTGAACAGACCCTAAGAGTTGTGTAGTTACCCTTTTATGTTGTGCTCTAATCAAATGAGACATTTTTTTTACCGTTTCCTGCCTAAGGGTCCTCCTTTTATCTGTATGATTAACCTAATATATTTTATAACACAAGTCATCAAAACAGGATAAGTACATTGTGATACTTTACTTAATGCATTTTATTGTTTGTATTTTGTACATCTGTTGTTTAAAAAGTAAACAATCATTAGAAAGAAATGTGTTAGACATTAGAGAAAATCCATCAAAAGTTACAAGTCTTGAGAAATGCATCATCCCTTAGCTAACATCTTCCATAGTGGTACTAAAGTACTATTTAATGTGTCAAATGGTGCAACCTATTTTAGAACAAATTGGCACAAATGGTGTATTTGTTAGAAACTACTAGGGGTGTGTATTGGCACGAATCTGGTGATACGATAAATTGCGATACTAAAAGACGATATTTTGATCTTTAAACATATGAATAATTTAAGACACATAACATTATCGTTGGGATTCCATGTTCCATCAGAATGAAGGATGTAAAAACTGCTGCCTAGCCGTTGGATTTTGAACGCTCAAGAAAGGTTTGCATTTAAATTCTCAATAAAAAACAGATATCCTGCTTTTAAAACTGCGTTAGTGAGTCTACAGAGTAAGCTAGGCTTTCAACGCAGTCATGGAACACTCACCCCTCCCCTTGGGTATCTTCCCTGAGATACTTCTGCCGGAACCAGAAATCCGCAATGCCGGAGGGCATAAGATAGTGCTAAACACTAGTCTCCATTTTTGTTTGTCTCTTATTGTCTGTGACTTGAAATAGTGTTGCTAAATACGTGACTACATAATGAGTGGGGAAGTTCAGAAGTGCAGTAGTTCGGTGAGGCAGACAATGGTTTGTCCAATGGTTTGATCCGAAACATGTTATTGGTGGAGGATTGTAGACAAATGCGAGAGGACCATTTTATTATTTTTTTGTTGTTTATTTTATTTTTTATCTTCACAATACTTTAAAGCTATGCTATGTTAGAACATTGTTGAGAGGCACATAAAAATGTTTTAAGCTAGTTTGTTTTCCAAATTTGCCATTACAGCGTTATGTATCAATTCAGTATCATCAGACAAAATATCACAATATTTCAGAGTATCAA